CAGAAAATGCTATGACTTAAATATATTGTTATCCCAATGCTGTGAATGAAGAAATAAGGCTTAGAAAGGTCAGATGCCTTCTCCAAAACAATATTACCATACTAGAATCAATATTTGCTCATGTTTTGTACCTACTATAGAACAACACAATGTGCTAAAATGAAAATTAACCCAAAATCTGGTCTCTGGTTTCAAGTTTCACTCTGAGTTGACTGTGAAATGGTGGATGAAAGTGTTAGGCCTGGCTGTCGGTGCTGAGAGCTGAACTGTAATAGGTCTGTCTGGTTAAGCTTTGAAAACCTTGCAAGCTTAAATGACTATAATAATTAGAACATTGTATTTTGAGACAAAAAAAATGAGTGTTTATTTTCTCTAAAAGACAATTAGAGAGCACACCCTCAGGTTTTACAATCTAACTACAAAGGTATGCACTCCTCAGTAAAATAGCAAAATAATTAATGGTAAATCCCTGACTTACACGAAGTTCACTTTCCACAAACTCAAAAAAAATGAAATGCCTCAAGCATGATTTTAATCTAATCTTGATATTTAACCTCACTTTATTCAGATTGATATCAGCTTTTTAAATAGCTAATTTAAAATTCAAAGCACATGCATATGATTTCCTTCTATTAAGATTTTTCTTGTTAATAAAACTTTGTCCCTTCTACGTTTTATTTCAGAAACTGAAAAACTAAATTACTTTACCTTGTAGTTTTTAATTAGGAACCTATCCTAACAAATGTGGAACATACTGCACATTGAAGGAGAATTTCTTTGACAGTTAATATAATTCTAATCAGTGAATTATTAGGACAAAAAGGATTTACAAAACTGGTATGTTCTTTGTGGTATCAAGCTTAAAGATATCTTTAAATAATAAGGTATTTGTACTCTTTATAACCAAAAATGTTTTTTTAAGTAAACTTAAATTTAAATATACTGTGGTGGATTATTCTATAATGAAGCTTTACAATAGATCTTCTTCTAAGGTCCAGAATATTATCTAGTATAACAGGGCAAGACAGTGCAGAGGTTCCTCCATCTTGTATTCTTGTTGAGGTCATTCCAGGTTTAACTAGAATCTGATCTCCTTGATGGAGAACCCCATGGGAAATGACCCAAGGTCAGGATGCCCTTGTTAACTTGTCTCAGTTTGTGTTAAACTGCCTGTTTGTACAGAACCCCCTCCAGCTAACTGCTTGTCTTAGCTTCTATTAAAACTGCTTGCTTCAAACTGCTTACTTCTGTGAAGCCCCCCTGCAGCTGCCAATTGAGATGCCAGGACATGGTTTCTACCTTTAAAAGTCCCATGTTCTGAATACTCAGGGCCACACCTAGATACCACCCCCAACACTTGGGTGTGGTCCCAGCCAGCTGAAATAAAAACTTTCAATTGGCTGTAAACTGTGTCTGAGTGGTCATCTCTGATGGGTTACCCATATCACTAGATTTCTGAGATTTAAGATGACAGCATTTCAGTTTTAGCTGTATCTTTAATAATCACTTCATGTTCATCACTAAGTGAAATACTCCTTTAAGGACACAGTGCTCTCAAGAAGTGAATGGGAAGTCGGGGGGGGGGGGTCACTTTAACTAGGAACAGGGAGGGATGTTAATATACAAGGGAGAGGAAGGGAGGAGAGATAGTAACACTAACGATATTTGAAAAAGCCACTTAGGAACATTATTTTAAAAGCATACTTTAAAACATAGTTGTGTGTGTGTGTGTGTGTGTGTGTGTGTGTGTGTGTGTGTGTGTGTGTAGAGCTTAAATGAAGTTGCACCACTTGAGGTGATAATACTCAAAACATGAGCCAGAGACTGTCTTAACAAAATACCAAGTACCAGGCATAAGAAACCTTCTTTCGAGTCATCAGTTACAGGAGAGTCCAAGAGACCCCAGAACAATATAATCTATTGCCACTGCCCTAGATTGCCTCCCAGAAAGCGAAGGTAGAGGCTTCTTACTGAAAACACCACAGTCATTTCAGATACAGAACTTGGAGGATTCAAGCTAGAACTCACTTGAAAGCTTCCTTCCTGATGACTAGGTCTCATGGTATTGGAAGGTGCTGTGAAAGCTTTCCATAGAGAAAAGTAACCAATAGTGCTATGAACCATAATGATTAGCCTGGCAAGATATCCCCAACAGTAAAGTAGTAGTAGATACTTTAGGGATAACCTACAGCTTTCTAACTGCATTTAAAGTTCATTCAATAGGAGTGAATTCATGCCTGGTACTGTAAACCTAGCCAGCCACCTAGAGGAGAAGTACTACTATCACTTGCCTAAACTAATAAAATTTCCAAGTTGTATTCTGATAATACTTATCCTTATACCAGGAGATAAGTGTGTCTCTCATTCATCATCAAAGAAGCTTATTTCTGTAACAGGTAGAGACTATTAGAGACCCACAGCTGGGTGAAGATGCAGAGAATGAATGACCATGAGGTGCTAGCCCAAACTGATCAATCTATATGTAACACATCCCCTACACCTAACTAAGACTCAGGAAACATTATGTGGGGTGAGGCATTGCAAGAGCACAGGACCAGGTTGCCTTGCTGCTAGACAATGTCTTCTAGACATTATGATGAGGCTACACCAAGGAATTTTCAACAATATGGTTGCATAGAAAGGACCTGCATAGTGGCAACAACCAATGGCATGCCACTGTGGATGGGGGATGTTTGACTAGGTCCCATCCCTAGATAAAGAGCTACAGGCGCTCGGTGACTGCTGAGAGGGAGAATCAGTTGTTGTTGTTTTGTTTGTTTGTTTGTTTGTTTGTTTGTTTTTTAATATTTATTTATTTATTTGTTAGTTCTACAGTGCTCTGCCTACATGCATGCTTACAGACCAGAAGAGGGCACCAGATCTCATTATGGATAGTTGTGAGCCACCATGTGGTTGCTGGGAATTGAACTCAGGACCTCAGGAAGAACAGCCAGTGCTCTTAACCGCTGAGCCATCTCTCCAGCCCCAAGAATCAGTTTTTTACATGGTCATGCTCCCTGGTGGGTTATCTAATCCCAAGCATCAGCCCTAAACACATGCCATACTAAATAGATGCAGTAGGTTTTGTATGTGTATGCATGTGTACCTGTGTATGTGTGCATGTTATATATGTATGTGTGGATATATGTAACTATAATTGAAGAAATCATGAATTTGAATGGAAGTGGATGTGTGCCATGGTAGGAGTTGGAGAAGGAAGGAGGTATGAAAATAATATAAATATAGTACTCACATATAAAATTCTCAAAATAATAAATTTAAATGAAAAAGTTCAAAGTATAAGTATACATAGTTTATCAACTATGTTGATTTTTTTTTATATTATGCCTGGAACTTTGTCAATGTGATTGCTAAACTCCCCACCCCCAATTCTTGTTTCACTCTTGTATTGCATCCATAATTTTGGTGAAATTAAGTCATTGTCTCCTGTTTACCAAACTAGGCTTGAGAGGCAGGCACACAGAATACAAAATAAATGGTCTTTCACACAAAAGAATTTTAACTGGTTAGAAGGAAACTGAATTTAGATGAAGAATGTGAGAAGGTGTTTTTGAAAAGAAAGATAAACTTCTAACTGGACAGTTCTCAGGGCAAGGAAGAGCCGCAAATAAGGGTACAGATCTTCCATATGCCCATACTATATCCCACAGAGCCTCTCCATACACTGCAACCACCACTTCAGGGAAACCAACACTAAGAACAATAATTCATCTAGAATGTGTTCTACTTGATCATCAAAAACACAAGTGGTATCTGTAATGTACTTTACAAGTAGCATAGAATTTGAGTATAGTTTTCTTTCTCTATTCAACCTGAAAAACTGGCTATGTTCTATTGATTCAAATGGATATTTATAAGTGAATAGAAAAATACAGATGCACACATATAATGTCTATTTGATAGTAGGAAGTTTTGCATATCACCCAACAGGCATGAGATTGTCCTGAAAGCCCTGCTGACATTCAGGGCCTCACCACTCAGGCCAAGTGTTAACCTTCACATCCTCCTCCTTGATTTGCACATAAAACACCAGTGGGTCTTTTTATTTTTAATTCTAATCATAGTTAGAACTATCTGAGTTTTTTAATCCAGCTTCCCTTTGTACTCAGTATGATGAATTCATTTTCCTTAGCAAAAATGTATTAGATGCCCACTCTATGTCAAGATGTCAAAAGCAGGCCACCACTGACTTTGCATCTGCCGGAGCACAGACTACTGGGAATAGTATAGAGATGTGGAAAGGTGAACTTCCAGCAAGTTCTTTGGTGAGGGAAATTATCACCCTGAGGAAGACCCAGAGACATGACTGAAGAAGTAAAGACTAAGACATAAAGACAAAGGTCACCCTAGGGATGATGTGCAGCAGTGCCTTGGGGAGAATTGGGAGCACCAGGGTTTGAAGAGAACAGCAAACAAAGATGTGAGATGGAAGGGAATGTCAAGGCAGTGTCTACAAGTGATCAGGGCTGAGAGCAGTTGGGCAGCCATTGGGGAGCCAGAGTGAAGTAACATAAAGGAGACAGCGCACTTTCCTTCCTGTGAGACCTCTGGTGGCGTTCTGGAGAAGGATGCTGCAAACACTGGAACAGTCACAAGAGACCCTAGGGTGACTGTGTACTCACCATTTTTGAGAAGTACTACGTACACATTTTTTAAAAAGATAATAAAAGTATTTTTTCCTTTTAGGGAAACAATTTAAATAAAATTATTTTAAGAGAATACCAGGGCTGCATAAATAAGTTTGGGAAGTGTAATATAAGGAATGCCAGCTACTTCTCAGCTGCTAAACCTCCCTTATGATCCTTTGTTCTCTTGCTTTATCAGAAACATCCTATGGATTCTGTGCATCTGACACACTATTTTCATTTTGAATAGGTGTTGATTCCAATCCTATGACATCTAAACTGTACTTTGAGAAGTATTGTAACATGATCTTTGTTACTTCACCCATTAATGGATTGACTTTCTCTAACAAACAGACCAGTTCATCAACAGAGGTGGAGGCAGCATCCGGAACAGTAAAAGTCAAGATGTTTGCCATATTGCTTTCGGGTCCAGGGTCCTTGGACCACCTCCACTCTCTGGCAGACGTAATAACATGAGGCTCTCCAGTGAGGTGGGTGAAATGTTTGAAGAGCTCACTCAGGCAAGGGCAGGGGGTGGTAATGTGTAGGCTGTGGGAAGGAAGGAGAGAAAAGCTGACTATTTGTGTACCCAAAGTAGGTTTATGTAAATTTGCAACAGGAATTTTGGATCATAAAGACTTCAAAATTGTTTCTCTTCTGTCATATCAACGTAATTAAAGTTTTTGAGTAGTCTTTTCATTAAACATGTTACTTACAAGCAAATATATATGAACATATTTTGCCTTCTCTGTCAAGAGAAGTGTTGGATGTAGACCAGTACCCATACAATGCACACATTCTCAAATGGTCTGCTTTTTGTTTTAACTTCCTTCAGGTCTTTGACATGCAGGATGTTTCTCACTCCTCTCTGTCTGTTGCAGGCAGGTGTCGCTCACAGTACATTTAATGTTTTGTCTAGGAGGTCTTCTTGTCTGCTGTTCCATCTCAGGTTACGCTTCTCCTTCAATTTCAGTCTTCTTTAATTTCTCTTCCTCTCACGTTTTAGCTGAAGTTACTCTGGTTTTTGCTCACTTATTTGTCTGAGTTTTTTCGTGTATAGATTTTATAGAAATTAAATATAATTCCTTATTTTTAAACATATATATTAATTCCTTTTCCTTACAGACAGTAAGATCCATTGGGTACAAAAATAGCCAATCGTGCCAACAGCCTACAGCAGAGAAGCATGTTAACACTGCACAAGGTTCAGCCTTGCTGATACCTGAGCCTGAGCAGCAAGGAGAGAAAGGAAATATCCATCAAGTGAAGCAGACAGTGCCTATTCCAGGTAAGCAACAGTCATGTAGAAAGGAAGAGCCAGTGGAAAATAGTGAGAGTTGTTCTTACTGAAATAATCAAGCAGTATTCAAGACAGGACTATATCCAGAAAAGGGCTGTTTAATACTGAAGTGGGTGGTGAGTATTGAAATTATTTTGTCTTCTCTGTTCTGTTGTTTATTCTGGTATTTCAAATAGCCAGTGTCCTGGTTTTGCTTTCTGATAAAGATGCCAAAGTAAAATAGCATCAGATTATCATTATATTTTGGAAACTCCATGTTTATTTTAAGTTTTCTTACTATCATTTCAGTTTCTGTTTGCAGAACCTTTATTTCCTGTGCTCTTTATTTTCTGTCATTGATATAAAAAGACAGCTCTGTAGGAAGACTTTTGTCTCATTTCAGATTGAGAGCGCAAGTCTAGGAGAGAAGTAAAGTGATTTGTAGCCTGTGTTTATTTGAAAAATGGAGAACAGAACCTGACTTTGAGTTGTTTTATAACTTTCTTCCCTTCTTGGTCTGACTTCAGTGAATAAGGAAAGGAAGAATTAATTTTACTTGAGTTAGAAGTGAATGATAACCACTACAGACAATCTTATCCACTGGGGATAGCAAATGGCGAGAGAAAATGAATAGCATAGACATGTAGTCCCAGTTCCTCCAGTGGCTGTCTCTGTAGCCTGGTGCCTGGTTCCAAGGTCTTCACCATTGGTGTTAGTATTCTGAGCAGCCCCTTGGGGGCCCGCCCAGAGTCCTGAGGTCATCTTATATAAAGTCCCCTCTAAGCAAAACCTCTCAGCTTTGTGCTCTCCTCTCTCTCCCTCTCTCTCCCCCCTCTCCCTCTCTCTTCCTCTCTCTCCCTCTCTCTCCCTCTCTCTCCCTCCCTTTCTGTCCCTCTCTCTCCTCTCCCTCTCTCTCCCTCTCCTTCCTTCTCCCTCCCTCTCCCTCTCTCTCTCTCTTCCCCCCTCTCTCTCCCTCTCTCCCCCTCTACTCCTCTCCCCCTCTCCCCCTCTGTTCCCCTCCCTTTCTCCTTCCCACATGGATGCCATTTCTGTCATGTGAGTAGCTTTCTGCCACACAGCCATCCACCTTGCCCACAAGGCATGTCTCACCCTCTGCGGGGCACCTTGCTACAAACCTGCTAAGGCCTCTCCTGCCATTTCACAATGTTACTCTTGGAACCTCAGTTTCCTTCTCTATAAAACAAGTCAAGCATTGCACCAATGGGAGGTACCTCAAGAGGTTGTTGAAGGAGCCAATGACAAAAACCAGTTAAGTGTATAATACTGCTCTAAGATATGAAGTATTTAGTGAATATTAGCTGCTACTCTGATTATTATTTAAATATCAAATTATACTTCAGAATTCTTCTCCAGGTTTGATCTCAGCTCACTAGACATCTTTAGAAAACTCCTTATTCTGCTACACTTCCTCTCTATAGGAAAAGGATTTTTCTGTCAACTTCATTTTTTTATACTTTTTAATATAACATATTGTATAAATAACATCAATCACACTTCCTGTAGCCCTCTATTCTTTGGATGAAATTCATCACTCATACAGAAATTCCAGTGTTGAAATATGAATTAACACCTATTTTTGTTAAGGACTAAGTTGTGTCTTTTATAAAGCCTCAAATTATGTCAAAATGATACATGAATATTCTCATTATAATGATAAATATATTTACTGTATTATTTGAATGAATATAGTACTTTCTATTCTGGCTTTTGTTCTCTGGTATGGAAATTTATCAACCAGTCTACCTATTCTGATCTTTCTCAACAACATCAGCAGGTCAGAGCAACAACAGGAGAGCTCGCTTGAAAAGCACCAGCGGAGAAAACACAGAGGCACACTGTGGTATGACACTCTCCAATACTATCCCAGAACTGCGTATATTCAGGGCAGTGGGATCTCTCTGTTGTAAATTTCAAAGGATTATGAGCCAATTCATTTAAAATATAAATGTCTGTTCTGTGGGGATTATGGAAATCAAATTTTCTTCAAAAGTATTGCTCTAGAGTCTTCCCTACCAGAGACAGACTAGACTCAGTAGACAGGAGTGCAGAAGTGCCGGGCTCCTCCCTTTACAGGGCTGAAGAAAGCTTAAATTACTACTGCTGTTGTCCCAAAAAGGGACCCAAATGTGATAGAGGAAATTCCTCCCTGAATCTCTCCCCAAATGGAAGTTTATTATCATTTTCAGATTTAATTTATGTCTTTTCTTTTAAAGCAGGCTCTTTCAGAACTCATGTTACACTGCTGTGTCTCCCTTGGGAGTCTTTGCAGAGGATATGATGTAGTTTCAAATACAAACCCTTTCATACTTAAACATTAAGTAAATGTAAGAGGCTGTAGTGGCTATCCCTTTAAAGATGGGACTTGAGGCATGTCTATGTACATTTTTCAATGTATATATTCGTCTATCCCTTTAAAGATGGGACTTGAGGCATGGCTATGTACATTTTTCAATGTATATATTCATCTATCTTGAATCCAGCCCAAGGGCATCAGGAATAGATTGTTAGCACAATTTCCCAAAATGTTAAGATTCAATCTTCCTGGTTTTACATTGTTATTATCAAGGGCAGGTAGAAATACTACTTCTGTGGTAACACCCACATCCATTTTCTGAGGAGGATGAAGAAAAGAGCTTGTTTTAAAAGAATTACAATTTAATTTTTTTTATAAAATCTATAAAAAATATAAGATGCCTTTAAAATTGTTTGTGAATTCTTTTTATTACATACTGTATAATTTAAATCTAAAATGTCCTTGTGCAAATATCAAAGCATTTTAAGGTAAAGCTCTACAAAACCCAACAAAATTCATCTTAAAACATTCAACTATTTTAAAAAAAAAATGCACATGAACTGTAATAATACCTCTCATTTGCTTTTAAATAATTAAATAAAAATACACAAAATTAATACCAGCCTTCAAAAACAACTTTCTACAAATATCAATAGAATAATGCAGTGGAAATATCTCTTCCAATAAAGGTAGTTCCTGGGAAAATAACAAGAATGAAGAGGAAGTGACCGTCACCCTCAACAGCATCATTCAGCCAAGGACAGAGCCAATAAGTTGCAGCACTCCAGAACCTCAGGCTCCTGACCAACCAGGTTAGTACCCTTAGTATTCACAAAGTGTTACTGGAAATGTTGGGGAGTCCTACCACTGTTGTCGCCTGTTCCCAGGAAAATTTGGGTCCCCTGTTGAGGTTCATAGTTTTTGTTAATAAATAATTTGAGAATGGGCTCAAGTGGAAAGTTGGAAACAGTTTTATTAGAGTTTGAAAGAAAAACCCCAGGCAGACAAACTGAAAATCTCAGCAGCTTCTCAGTGGAGAGGAATAAAAAAGAGAAGGAAAAAAGCCTTGATGTTTGAGTTATGCCACCATGGAGGTCGGCTAAGTGGTAGACAAGCAGCCTCGTAGTGTTAGGGAGTAGGAATTCTGGGAAGGAAAAGTACAGTACCTCCTTAAATGGTTAATTATTCCACCTCTTTGTGGTTTAAGGTAGACTCATCTCCCTAGGGGTGTGTGGTCCTTCCTTCCTGAGAGTTGATCCCTTAGCCAGATGACTCACCTGCCCATGCATAACTCTTTTATATTATGGGTAGTTTAGAATGCCAGGCCTCCAACCAGGCCAGAGAAATAGCTTTCCCTAATTAGTCTTCACAGAGCTCTTGATTTAAGCTCCTGTAACCCAAATATTTCAAACTCAGTCATTTCAAAAAATGATGATACAATCATTTGCTGAAATTTATCATAGTTTGTAAATCTCCCTTTTTACCTTCAATTATACCCCAGTTCTCCCATTCAAAAGTAAACTTTAAAACTTGAAAGCTTTGCCCTAACACCGAGCCCTTCCACAAGCCCATCATCTGTTGCTGTATTTCCCATCTTCTCCATCAATGGAGATCACTGAGCCCATCAACATATCTTGCCTAGCAGGTGTTTGCTACTTTTACAAAGGCAAATTGTTTTTGAGCAAGGGAAAAAGGAAAATAAATGAAAATTGTTTGTAGTTTGTCAGTCTTATTTATGCAGTGTTGAAACCTTCATTAAAATGTTAGGTGCAATTAGTGTCTCTAGCATAAATCTGACTGTGTAGAAAAACTAATTAGATGTTTAGGTGATCATTCTTGCATTTATCTTGTTTGCTGCAATATTGTGATTACATGGTAATTTACATATTTCTCTAAGAAAACACACCAAATTATTCATTACAATTGATATGGAAATACTTGAGGTAAAAGTACAGATCTCCAGAAAGCTGGTGGCAATGAGGTATTTAGTATACCGTGGTGTAAACCACCCTCTACTTTGACTTTTTGGCAGTTAATAATGTTTGGCAAGTAGGTCATGAGAAATTGTCTAACTGAATAGTGAAGATTCCAAGAATCCTTTCTGTTCCCCAGCTTTACACATACATGTACATAAAATAACACACTGGCTTTTATAACCACTTTCAGCCTTTAGGCTTGCCCATGAAAGTTTTATAAAACACCAGGTGTATATGTATATAGAATGGGCATACAAATCAAACATCTGTGATAATAAAATTTTAGAAGAAATTTATTTTCCAATAATTGTTCAATATGTAGATATAAGTGTATTATAATTTTACCATTTACTAAAGTGGAAAGGAAATTAAAATGCTAATGAGATGGATGGGGCCAAATATATATTTTAAGACATGGAGTGTCATCAGCATTTTTCAGAGGTTATTGATACTTTGCATTTATAATTGTCAATGCTGAAAGTGCTACTTCACATAAATACATGATGTGTATAAGGAGAACAGACAAAGGGCTGACCATATTTAGGACAACATGGTCCTTATTTGGGAGAAAACCTGCAAAGGGGTCCCTAGTGAAAGACTCACATCCTGACTACAGGGTGGGTGGTTACAGGGCAGACCAAGGAAAGGAGAAGGAGACTGAAGTGTTTCCTTTCTTAGCCTGCAGTTAGCCACTGCTGCTGGTAGCTGGGAGGTAGGATGTCCAGTAGGACGAAGAATGCTAAGCCACTAACAGACATCTCTTATGGTCAGTTGTTTCTGGGATCAGTAGGTCCGGGAAACAAGAATCTAAAAACCAAGTTGGAACCAAGTTATTTTAGTTCTGGGAATTGTGGTTTAACCACAATGGATGCCCTTTACAAATGGCATGGTCACAGCTAACAGCATGAAAGAGCTGTTTCATAAATTATTGGAAACTTTGTCTCAATCCTGAGCCACATTTCATTCAGTGATTTGTTGTTGTTGTTGTTGTTGTTGTTGTTGTTGTTGTTAAACTCAAGCCAGCAACTCAAACCGTAATTTTTTTTTAAATTAAACATTCTGAGGCCAGACATGGTGACACATGTCTGTAGAATTACTAGCCCTCCAGAGTCAGAAGTAGATGGATCTCTGTGTGATAGAGTTCAACCTGGTCTACACAGTGAGTTAAAAGGGGGGCCTCGGGGGAGGGCAGCACACCTTTAATCCCAGCACTTGAGGCAGAGGTAGGTGGATCCCTGTGAGGTCAAGGCCAGCCTGGTCTACAGAGTGAATTCCAGGACAGTCAGGGCTACACAGAGAACCCTTGTCTCAAAAAAAAAAAAAATATTTAAAAAATAAAAGAAACAAAGGGAGAAAAAAAAAAGCTTTAACACAATACAATCCAAAAAAATACCAACCTAATACTATGCTGAGGAATGACAGTAGAAAATTGAAATCTCTATTTACATGATTAGGCTATCATTTGTCTATAAGAACAGGAAACTAGCTGGGCAGTGATGGTTCAAACCTCTAGTCCCAGTACTCAAGAGGCAGAGGCAGGCAGATCTCTGTGAGTTCAAGGCCAGCCTGGTCTACAGACCTAGTTCTAGGACAGCCAGGGCTACACAGAGAAGACCTGTCTCTAAAAACAAACAAACAAAAACCCAGAAAACTTGGTATGCCTGGTAAAAATACTACAGTTTATAGCAGTCTGGAATCCAGGTATTTCAGACAGTATTTGTTTTAATTGTGGTGTGACTATGGTGTGATGGTGTGTGCAGCACATGTAGTATGTCTTCAGCTTTGGGTTGCAATAAAGTCACATCGTGCAACATGGGTGAGTACCAGCAAACACTCCTGGGATTCATTGTGTGTTATATTTTTAATTAGTTTGTGACTTTTGCCTTTTCAAATCTTTTTACTGTTAACCAAAATTTTTGCAAACCCAAAGTAATTTATGCAGCCCAGGGTTGAAGACACTATTTCAGATTAACACTAGGTTTACAAAGTCCCACTATGTGCCTAGCCCCATGCAGAAGGGTTTGCTGCCCCAAATAGGAGCATCCAGTCAACTTGTTCATTTCAGCTGCCCACACTGACTCAGACCACCTGTACTACTGGCAGGTGTGAGATAAAGTAGCTTCAGGCTGCTCTTGCCAAGGACCTGAAAATACAAGTCCAGCTCTGCCATATTTCATCAACCCCTTTACCTCCCAGTCATTTTGTGTAGCAAGTCCATGGTGAGTGACTCATGAGTGCAGTCTTAAACACTTTCCATTTGGGCCATCAGTGTCATTTTGGAAGAGGTCTCTGGGTCACATGTGTCACGGTGTAGGCTTTGCACTTGGCAAATCTTACATGTCCTGCAGTTACTTTCCTTGTGGTCATAGCTGTAATAGATTAAGCGTCCAGCATAAATTACTCCGTCCACATAAGGGCTGTGCAGAACAGGTGCAAGCCTCCACACTGAAACAATTCAGGGAGAAAAAGTGCATTCAAAGAAAAGGACTCTCTCCTGCTGTCTTCCTAAAGAAAGGAAGCAAAGACTACTTTTAACTACATTTCCTATAGGCATTGTCATCTCACATTGACTAGATCATAGTTATAAAACCTACTTCAGTGTGGTATAAACGATGGAAGGTTTTTTAAACATTTGATAAAAATTGCTCTCATTAGTAACATGCAGAATTTTAAAGAAAACAAATAATAAAAAATTATATCAAAACTTACTAAAATTAAATATAAAATTGTATTTCACCCTTCAGAAACCACCACTCAGATTAACAGTATTTCTGTGGATTTAGAGTTGCTTGCAATGTCTGCTCAGTTTAGTCTGTGAATTATTTCAATCAGCAAGAGGCCGAGAAATAGACTGTCCATCATCCTTCCATGGTTTCCTTGATTCATAACCCACACAATGACCAGATGGTCTGTTTTTAAAAGTTTGTTACATGCTGTACTGTCTTCCTGAGGTAAAAAGGGAGGTATTAGTAACTCAAATCCTTTTAAATTTGGACAACTTCCCTCACTGGATGTCAAATTAATGAGGCTGTGCTATAAAGAACTTGCTTCAAGACAGGTGATAATTATTTCAGACTTAAAAATTTCCTGGCCAGGGTTTCAACTCAAATGGAGAAGAAGTGTAAATGAGTTGCCTGTGGCTCTGGGCACTGTTCTGTGAGTAACTGTTTAGCAAGACACAAGATGATAGAGAAAATGCCTCCCCTGGCTTCTCCTTATTTGAAAAACCTCTGTTTCAAAAGAAATGTTACCCTAACCACCTAAACGAACATTTAATGGAACAAAACTCTTACTGTTACCATCTTTCCCCAATGTCAGATGAGTGGATATTTCCTGAAAGTGCTGCTCTGACTTCTGACCCGGCATGTGGCAGTCCATCGTCGCTCCTAGGTGGGGACTCATGCATTGCTTCACACCTTCGGCTAGAAACCAGCAAGGACCATGAACTTGACCAGGCAGAGGAAACCCAAATGGCTTCCAAGGACATTTTCACCTTTTCATCTAGACCAAGATCAGCACCTCATGGGAAGAGTCATGATATGTCCCCAAAGGGGTATCCATTTATTCTGGACCCAAGAGAGGACAACAGTGTGACAAGGAGAGACACCCATTTGGAAGATGATTTTTATGGTACTGACAGCAGTGAAGAGGTACGCGGCTTGATAAGTAAAATAGGCTTGAAGCACAGTGTCCCATTCGTGCCAATAAGCATTAAAACAAGTTGGAATGAAAGAGTGGGAATCAATTGCTATTTTTAAAAATGCAGCAGATTGCTATGTCAGTCAACAGTTCCATCGGGTTGCTATGGGAACTCAAAATTTCTGTATTTTTTTATTATTAACAAAAATAATTAGCAAATTTCATGTTTAATTATGGAAGCCAATTTTTAGTTGTTTATGTTTTTCATTTTAATCTTTACCTCACAGAATTAGAAATAATTTATAGTTGAGTACATGATAGCAAGACCACTGAAAAGCTGACAGCTCAGTGATCAGGGTCTCTGGGGAGGCTGTGCTGTGGTTGCTAAGCATTCAGCAATGACACTTTTTTGGCTCCTTCCTCCCCTGCCATCTTTTCACCTTAGACCTATTAGGACTCATTATTTTCCATATGGTCCCAGAATTTGAAGATTCGTGCCAATTAAAGTTCAGATAATGAATCATGAATTAGTACTGGGACTCTCCTTACAGGTGTTTGTCTGGAATTATTTAGAATATAAAATATTATAAGTTAGTAAACTGATAAAAAATTTTATTATACACTTGTTGGAACTCAAACTGAATATGCCTTAGAAATATTTGTTTAAAAACTAATTACTACAACTTTATCTCTATGTGAAGTGAATCTAGGGAGTATGTAATTCATCTCTGTGTGTGCATGTCCGTATGTAGCTTGTGTATGTTGGAGGCACTTGTGTACAATGTGGAGGTCTTGGTGTCATTTCCACCACTTTTTTCTCTCTGAAGTCTGTTACTGCCCTGGCGCTCACTACGTAGGTTATGCTGGAAGGCCTCTCCAGGCCTTCCTATTATCTACCTCGTCCAGCATTTTATGCGAGTTCTAGGGATCAAATTTGAGTCTCCCTGCTTGTCAGGTGAGCACTGTACCCATATCCCCGGCCTTAAATTTATCTTTATTCTTGGGTTTGTTTTTGTTTTATTTCATTTTATTTTATTTTTTAAGACAGTGTTTCTCTTTGTAACAATCCTGCTGTCCTGGAACTCTCTTTGTAGACCAGGCTGGCCTCAAACTCAGAGAGATCCACCTGCCTCTGCCTCCCTAGTGCTGGGATTAAAGGTATGCACCACCATGCCCAGCTCTTTTATCTTTATTCTTAACAATGTGTTGAAGAAACATTTTAGAAGCACCATAGTCAAGTTAAAAATTAAGAAGTACAAATAATATGATATAGAAATAATTAGAAAAACTCATGTATGCTTACAAAGTTTCTGAAATTACTATAACTGAGTTAGAATGCCCTGTGCACAGTGCATTGTAGATGAGGTCCACACCTCTATGTGCAGAGCCAGCCAAGAATATGGAGGTATTGCTTAGAGCTTTCACAGTAACTATGAGGCTTACATCTTCTAATGAATTTTGTATATGTAGGATCCTTTTTATACAATATCCTGCCTTCGGCATGTGCTGAAGTAATACATGATGCTAAACACAATGCATTTCATGCCACCATATTAAATATTGGATATTTAAATATTAGACACACCTATGTCTTTTACCCCTAAAGCATTAAGCTGTAAAAATTATAAATAAACTTTTGCCCTTGCCATCTACTAGAGTTTCCATCCCATGTCATCACTTCTAAGGTATTATTTGGCCAAACTGTTCAATTTATACTCACCATTCCATACTTACAAGGGATAGGCTTATGTCTTTCCAAGGAGCACACAGCACCATCTTTCTTCTCTAACCCAAAAGACTTACTTTACTAGTGCAAATTTCCTGACAGATGAGAAAGAGCAGTTCTCTGGGAAACAATGAAAGCATGTCAGAAGGAACTTAGCTCTTCTGTCTGACACATAAGCCTCAAGAAATCAAGTTTTGTGAGGAAATGAAGACTTTCAGTTCTACAGGCTTGAACTTGATACCATTTCATGTGCTTTCTTTTCCTACTATCTCTTCTACTTTTGATGCCCTTCAATTTTTATTATAAAAAATGTATTTAGTGATAACTATATCAAATGGAAAATGAATTCATCATGCGTTCTCCCCAAACTCTGACTACATAGCAGTCTGCTCACCCTGTGTCATGCCTGTCTATGTGACCAGTAGCATATGGCTGGAGTCTGTGGTGGGACAATCTCAATGCTAACACCTGCATGGTTTACTGTTAATCAGAGCCTCCTAAGAGTGCCAACAGAGAAGGGACAGAAGCCTTGCCATATTATAGAGGCAGAGACACTAATAAGATACAACCCAAGATATTAAAATATTTTTTTAAAAAAGCCGTACTACATTCACTTACATAATGTAATTACAAAGTTGATTTCCTTTCTTGTTTGGATGTTTGCTGCGGAGGGTGTCATATACTTTCTTGCTGGATAACTTCTCTTATTTATTGATTTATAAGCCATGGGAAATTGAATTATATATTTTAGTATTTATTTTGTATACATCTCCAAGTTTGAAGAAAGATTAGTTGAGATAATTGAAACATCCTTAATATTAGTTACATTATTTTAGAATGATACATTCTTAGAATAACATAATTACAGTTAAGGAAAACATTAATATTTTATTGTAAAAATAGGTGATAATTATATTATTTATTATACTTGAAACTTATACTCAGTAATTAAAAGACTTTCTATCATGCTTGACACATGAGTGATATTTAAAGAGAAACTAGTTTAAATTCAGTGACATATAAACCAGGTAGAATCAAATTATGATGTTATGAGGTTATGATAGAAGAAAAGTACACATTCTGTAGTAAAGACTACTCCAAATAAAATTCCAGTGATATATTGTCTTTATAATTTAAGGTGATATTACCTTAATTAATTAATTCACATCTGAGATCACAGTGTGAGCCTCAAAAGTATGAATTTTTAAAATATTCTCTTGTACTCCCTGCTTGGTGTGTGTTTTATTCCCCATGCTGTCATATATACTAATAGTTGAACACCAGATAATTTTGAAGTTGTGCCTTTTATTTGAAAAGCACGTTACAGAAATATATTTCATGACAAGCTATAAAATTGAAGCTACCATGTAAAATGAATTGTCTTAGGAAAGCTGTTAAAACAGGGCTTTGCATACTGTCGTATCATCTAAAAGAAGCCATTCAGGGTTTTGTCATTATTCCCAACATGGCTAGTAGATGCACTTGGTTTGCAAGTTGAATGAGCTATAAATTAATGTTTTATTATTCCCTTAATTTTATCTAGAGCTGTAGTACTGTCACTTTCCACCACCCCAGCTAAGGCTATATATAGCACATACTGAAGGAGATTGTTTCGAAGCTCATCCTCTACAACAATTCAGATTGGAACATTTGGTCCCCAAAATATCCATCTGGGACATAAATTATATAGACTGACTACCTGTCACATGCAGATTAGGTGGGAAAGCTTCTATAGTTTCTTTCCATCCAATGTATAGAACAATGCAAGGAACAATTGGGTAGACAACAATGTTAAATACCTGCATTTCTTCCTTCCTGGTATTGTTACTTTTTTAAAAAAAATACCTTTGGGTCAGGTTTCTTATTAGTGAGCTCTTATAACTTAACTCAACCCATTTCTATTAATCTATATGTGGCCACATGGCCATGGTGTTATCAGTATGCTGGCATCTTATTGCTCCTTGGGTGGCAGGCTGGCATCTCCCAGACTTGACCCTTCTTCATCTCATTTTTAATTTGAATGTACCACCTAACTAGTTATCTTGCCCTGCTATAAGCCATTGCAGCTTTATTTAACAACCAATCAGAGAAACAAATATTCATAGCATACAGAAAGATCCCACAGCACTTCCTCTTTTCTGTCTAATCAAAAAGGAAGGTTTTAACTTTAATATAGTAAAATTACTTATAATAGAAGAGTTACCAAGAATTATAGTTATAATATCTAATCTATTTGTATTTGGCAAAATTAAAGAAAACATTCTATCATCTATTCTATATTTGTGAGTCTAAAGTTTCATATCTAATTTATTTTTATCATAATCAAGGAAAATTATAATTATAACTAACTAGTCTTCAACTACATCAGAGACCCCAGAAGGATATATTATTACCTAAGTAAACAGGAAGTGCATTGCAAGCAACTTCCATAAGTCTAGGAATGACAGAGACATTTGGCTGCTTAGACAGTCATCCAAAGTTCCTCTGTAACATTGGGTCATCTGTCTTCAGCCTATAGGCCTAGGTCTCTGGCAGAGCTTTCAGTGAAGCAGGAAATTTTAAGGAGTGTTCTGCCCATTCTGGCAAAGCTCATCAGTCACTTCTACCCGTGTCCTGTAGAATGTCTGGCAGTTTCTTCTATGAAGCAGAAACCTGAAGAACCATCTCTCCTTGCAAAGCTCAGTGGTTACCTTCCTGGGGTCCTGCATGTCCAGTTTATATAACATACAGTCAAGCGGTAGAGGCAAGAGCACTTTTTCCCCAGTGGCTAACTTTTGCCACAAAGAAAGCAGTTTTTTGATGCCCATCATCCTCTTTGAAGTAATTGGTGCTGCCAGGAGTAGACGTGTCTCATTGTCTAAAAAAGTCTAAGTTCTTAAAACACCTTAAATGTCATATTCTGTAGGTCTTTGAAGTATTTAAAGATTACCTATCCATCTGAAATATATCTTTGCATATCTATAAAACCTAATTAATATGACTATAAGTTTGTCTGTTATAGATGACTATTAATTTGTATTTTAACTATACATTTTTAAATAAGCTGCATAAACATAATACCTTAAACAAGAGTAGAAATATACATACAGTATAACAAAATTAACTTTAAATTTGTATCAATAAACTGAAATCTATACCAATGTATAATATTTTGAGATTAACTGTTGTTTTTTGGATTAAAGTAGATTCAGTAATGTACCCTTTTATCCTATCATTTCTATATCATACAATTCTATATCATTTCTCCTTTATTCTTTTAGAAAGAGATTGACTATGACCAATAAC